TGATTCCCACAAACCACCTTGAATATCCCTTAGTTTCATAATAATAGTTACAGTGAGGATTTATGAACTGTATCATATGTCTGCATCTTTATTTAAATTAATGGCACTGGATTCTCTTACACTTGGAAGGTAGCAATGGATATACATCAGCTAAAAAGAAAAAAGGAAAAGGAGCAATATTTTAAAATCTTGTAGGAACTAGATCATTTTAAGTGAGTTTTTTTTTCTTTTTGGTTTGACTTGAAGTTTTGTTTTTTTAAAAATTTTGTTTTATTGCTTAAAGTATTACAAAGAGTATTACATATGTCTCCTCCCCCCCCCCCCTTAACCTTCCCCCGGCCTCCCCTACCCCCCAGTGTCTTGTGTCCATTGGTTATGCTTATATGCATGCATACAAGTCCTTCGGTTGATTTCTAACCCTCCCCGGCCTGTGATTATTTTTTAATGTTGTAGAATATTTCTGCAGTTTCATGGGCAGCTGGTCTTTTTCCCTGAATATATACATACCTATCTTTACTATATCAAAAGCTAGTAAAGCCTTGTATGTAAAAGTCATAATAGTAATAATAATGAGAATGATAATAATTTATATGACCCTTCCTGGCTGCCAAGTACTGTTCTAAGCACTTTATGAACATTAACTCTTAAAATTCTCAGAAGAACACTACACAGTAAGCGGGACTGTTCCCTAATCTTAGTTTAAATACAAGAGCAACAACAACAAAAACTGAGTGGCAGAAAGGTTTAAAAATTTGACCAGATAGGAGTCCATGATTTGACTCATGTACATAAAACCAGTGGGGAATGAAGTATGGTAGCAATCATTTCAGATTGAAACTGTAGTTTAACTCTAACCCTGTTGTTTGGCTTAACAATAGAAAAGTTACTTTGATTTTCTGAACTGTGTAAATCATCCCATTCGATTGAATGGCTATCCCATTGATTGTTATCTTACTGGTTTTAGAGAGCACATTCCTCTGTACCTGGGAACCAGGACAGCACAATTATCCCAAGACCCGAGGGTTCCAGATAATGTGTTTCAGTCAACTCAGTGGTCCTAAGACCAGGACAGTGCAATTACTCTAAATTGCCTCGATGGCTCTAGATAATGACTTCCTGCCAACTCAGTGATTCGAGACCCGAGGGCTCTAGATAATGTGTTCCTGTCAACCCAGCGGTCCCAGATGATGTGTTTCTGTCAACTCAGTGATCCGGAGACCCAAAACTGTAATTAACATGCTTAATTTCTGCTTCTGTAAACTGCTTTTTTGCGAACCAGGTTCCTCATTCCAAACCCTGAAATGTAATCAATACCTTTGTGATTTTTTGCCTATATAACCCTGGAACTGTGACCAAATAACTACTATGAGATTTGGGAATGACCCCTCATAGTCCCGGATTGCAATAAATGTGACTCTTTAATTCGAAAAAAAAAATTGACCACATAGTAAATGACAGAAGAGAAATTGAAACCTAACCCGTCTTTTATACCTGTGGAGATGCACACAGCCCAATACACTACATTGGTGTGTGTATGATATATTTGTCCTCTTGATGAACACTGAAGCAGAGTTAGAGTGCCTCCCACAGTTGTTTCATGAAATAGCATTGACATGAAGTGTGGCCTTTGTACTCATTTTGGGGCACATGATTTTATTACTCTGAACCTTATTTGAATAATAATTTGTGAATAATTTGAGCAGTTATAACTTCAAAATCTTTCTTTGCTATTACACAGATAGATCACTATTAACCTTGACATTCGACTTTTAAAACATGAATAATTTCCCTCAGAGTTATGACAGCATTCATATGCTCTTCTCTTTTCATTCGGTACTTTGGCACTTTTGGAAACATGATGAGATAGTAGTATGATTAATAGATTAGTACACACAGCATTTCTCTACTATTCTTTCTACTTTTTCTGAAGACATCACCTTCTTTTGCACTTTCTCCTTTATTCCTCTCTCCACTTGTTTACTTACTTCCAATGGACCTTATTTTTGTTTCATCTTTTGATTTTCTTCTCTTTCTAACATCATGTAAGTTACTTAAAAGCTGTCTAATCTTGGATCTTCTGATGACTTATAACCATGGAAATTTTGATTATTTCATACTTCCATTTATTTGGATTATAGAGACACACTAGAGTTTACTTTGTGAAATAGTCTTGTCAGTCCTGGCAGGAAACTTGTGATTCCATTATAGCTTTGCCATGTGTCTGTAAAGCACGGTCATCATACTTTAAATATATATTCCCATGCAATAACAAAGGCACGAATTCTAAGGGTATTGCAGAAAGCATAGCAATCACTGCTTCTAACATCCTTAGTTGTGACCTCTTGATACGTTCCATAGAGCAATAAACTAACCTTGCCCAAGGGTCAGGATTCCAACCCATTCACTGCAACACGTCTAGATGTAAAATGTTTACCCTCGTCTGACTAATGATCTTAGTCAAGGTGCTAAATACTTGCTTGTTCTGTGTATTAATCGATCCCTTTTCCTTGACCTTCAGGCTCTATCAGATCCTTCTCCTAAAATTCATACGTCTTGTGTTGTTGCTATCCTTGCCCCAACATGATAATATTGACATGGTTGAAAGTTTAGTACCCTAAGTTTCATCTCTTTATCCTTCAAATGAATTTTCATAAAGAATTAAAATAAGTTTAAAAACTCATTGAAACTATTCATTAATATACTGTTATAGGTTCTAAGCAACCATCTCTTCTATAGGCAACATAATTACAAGCGAATTACAAATGCAGACTTTATGACCCCAATTAAACACTAGCCACAATCCATTAAAACAGATTGCATACATTACACTAGCCCAGTGATGGCGAACCTATGACACGCGTGTCAGAGGTGACACACGAACTCATTTTTTTTGGTTGATTTTTCTTTGTTAAATGGCATTTCAATATATAAAATAAATATCAAAAATATAAATCTTTGTTTTACTATGGTTGCAAATATCAAAAAATTTCTGTATGTGACATGGCACCAGAGTTAAGTTAGGGTTTTTCAAAATGCTGACACGCCGAGCTCAAAAGGTTCGCCATCACTGGTCTAGATCTAAGAAAAGTATGCCACATGATTTGAACTACCAAAACCAACAAGGAGCAACAATTTCAAATAATGTATGTTTGCCTCAAAAATTTATCAACATAACCTAAAATATTTTCTTGAAAATCATCACAGAAAAAATTCTGGGACTATACTTAATTGTCCCATACACATACATTATACTCTATCTTACTTATTTCATTACTTTATTCTACCCCAAGAACACCCTTAAAAGCATTTCCCAAGAGTGAGAGATTGAAAAAGACTATTTTTTTTTTAGTTGTAAGAACATTAATTTTTTAGTTCTAAGAGCATTGTAATTTAAGTATTTAATTTTAGGGCTTTTATTTTGTAAAACTCAAGCAACTAAAAATTAATTTGAAACAAAATGAAGTTACATTGCTGTAAAAGTGCTGAGGAGGGCAGATCTTAAGAAAATGTCATCAAGGATTGCACACCCGTCTCCAGAATTGGAAGACTAATTTATCACCGAAGTGTCTCTGAAATGTGTGACTGCTTAAGGATTGGGTTACTATGAGAAGTAGATTTTTAAATGCTATGTCTATAAAATTTGATTCTACCTACTCCTCACTCCCATCTATCACATCTCACTTCTCCAATGAAGAATGAAAGGGTGCCCTAGCTGGTTTGGCTCAGTGGATAGAGCATCAGCCTGCGGACTGAAGGGTCCTGGGTTTGATTCCAGTCAGGCTCCATCCCCAGTGTAGGGCATGTATGGGGCATGTAGGAGGCAGCCGATGGATGTTTCTCTCTCATCATTGATGTTTCTATCTCTCTCCCCCTCTCCCTTCCTCTCTGAAATCAATAAAAAAAATTTTTTTAAAAGAATGAAAGGGTAAGAACTATGTCAGTTTGAATCTAGCATCTCTGACATGGGCAAGCACAAAATGAAATTGAAACAAAGCAAAACTATGCTGGAGCAAGATTAACTTGGGGTAGAAGAAAGGATGCAAGAGAAAAAAACAAAAAGAGCATTCCAAATAGAAGATTAAGAACCAATTCAAATAAAATAATTTGAAGGTATTATGTGAAATAAAATGAGATAATTTAGTACAGGTGTTCTAAGAATTTGAAGAGATTTTGATGTTTTGGGTACAAGGTAATATTGCTGATATTACCATTTAAAAGAGGGACAGAAGGGCATCTCCAATAGTAGCCCTGTAAACACACATGGGCAACAATACCAATACCCCATTTGCGCTGTACAGCCCTGATGCCACACAGAGAAAAGGAGAAAGGCAAAGATGTAAGAAAGTGATTGAAGATATTAAATGGCTGGAAAATAGTTTGTTTGTTTTTTAAAGAAAGAAAGAAGAGAGTTATGCTTCCAAGGGGATTCTTAAACTATGTCTAGATTTAAAATATGGAGATACATCTTATTGTGGTAGTCATTTTAGAATGAACCTGAAATACTGTCCTTATTGGAATATCCAATTTTCTCATCTAATTCATGCAAGGTTTCACAAAGCCACCAATGGCCTGGTGGAAGCTTTATAAATCTAAATGTTTTCAGTACTAAACTTTACTGAAGGCATCTTATTAAGGAAATAGAGGGAAAGTAACTTATCCTCTATCACATTTTCTGCTGCTTAGTTTGCCTCAGGAGAGGCTGATAATAAACACAAAGGAAGAGTTAACAATTTAACAAAAACAAATGCAAATATCTCATGGACCGCTAAGGTTTGTTGGACTAAATCACCATCTCTCACAGGAAATCCTGAAAAAGAAATACATTTAAAACACGGCTAGAAGAAAACTTTTAGAGGGGAAGTAATAAGTTTGTGACTTAGGGATTTCATGAAGGTCCTTGGTATGCTCGTTGGGTTTCTAATTCTCTCACTTTTTACCACTGAGCACCCGGTTACTATGATTTGTTTGTGGAAGGAAAGTAAAAGAAGCTTAGGCCTTACCGCCTCCACTTCAGCAGGGTCGTACCAGACGTTGATGTATGGATGCTGTAAGGCATCGTCCACTGATATCCTTTTGGCTGGGTCAATCACTAGCATCTTTGACAACAAGTCCCTGGCTTGGCTGGCTGAAATGACGAATAAGAAAAATAATTAATAAAATTTTTATTTTGGCAAGGACATTTGTCGGAGGAAGAGGAAATTAGGAAAACAAAGATTGCCTAGTGGTGTGGCTCAGTGGTTGATTGTCGACCTATGAACCAGGAGGTCAGTGTTCAATTCTTAGTCAGAGCACATACCCAGGTTGCAGGTTCAATCCTCAGTAGGGGGCATGTAGGAGGCAGCCAATTGATAATTCTCTCTTACCATTGATGTTTCTATCTCTCTCTCCCTCTCCCTTCCCTCTGAAGTCAATAAATATATAATAAAAAAAGAAAAAGAAAAAGAAATAAAAAAACAAGTAGTACCTTCATCCCCAAAATCAGATAACTTCACCTAGTGATTAGGGAAACATAAAATGAAACAATGAAATATGTTTTATCCAGCAGATTTGCAAAAATAAAAGATGGTGTAATGTCCAGGAACACCAAGTAATTTCATTCATGTTGGTGGGAATGTAAATTGATGCAGATTTTTAGGGAGCAAATTTGGCAGTATCTATTAAAGTTTAAAATGTGAATACCTTATGACTCAGCAGTTCCACTTTTACCTATTAGTATACAGTGTAGAGAAATGATTGCACATGTTCATGTAATGCACATAGAAGGGAAGTTCATTTCAGCATTGGTTATGGAATAAAAAAGTTTTAAAACAGTCTAAATTTCCATCTATAGAGCAACCAAATGACCTCTGATACAACTGTGCCATGGAATTGTATATGGCAATTTCAAAGAATGAGGTTGATCTATATATATATATTCACATGGACATGTTGTTAAGTGGGGGTTGGGGGGAGTTGCAGAATGATCCACAGATCTGCATATAGGCATAGATCTTCTTTGATCTGTATATAGACAATGTTGATCTTAAAAGCAGTAGATTTAGTAATGATTTAGACTATTGCCATTCAGAGAGCTGGTGGAGGCAGCTGAAGGAAGAAATGCAGCTGGGTAATGCCACAGACACAAAAACAATGCTGCACATTGAGGACACGCCGGATGAAAGTTTGGAGGAGATGGTAAGAGCCTGGGAAATAATAGTACATTGTAGTTTCCCTGTCTCATTTACATCCATAGTCGTTACAAATTAAGCTTTGAAATTAAATATGTAACTAATAGCCCTAACCGTTTGGCTCAGTGGATAGAGCATCGGCCTGTGGACTCAAGGGTCCCAGGTTCGATTCCGGTCAAGGGCATGTACCTTGGTTGCGGGCACATCCCCAGTGGGAATGTGCAGGAGGCAGCTGATCGATGTTTCTCTCTCATCGATGTTTCTAGCTCTCTATCCCTCTTCCTTCCTCTCTGTAAAAAAGCAATAAAATATATTTTAAATAAATAAATAAATATGTAACTAATATATTGCTCCCCCTGAATATTTGGGGTTAAATTTCAAAAGTATGTGTGTGTTTTTATAATGTATAGGATCATTTTCAATAATAATAAATACATTTATTATTTTTATATCTAACAGTTATTGAGTATTTATTGTGCCAGAATTTGAGCCCAGGCAGAAGGGAAATCTCAGAAATGTCCTGTTACAAAAAGAATTAGAAATTTATTTATATTATACTTTATAACTTTGCCAAATTCCTTGTCTCTATTCCTACGACTGAGGCATTATTATCCCAATTTTGTGGGTGAAGAAACTAAGATCTGTTACTAAAGTTCACAGCTATAGACAAAGTATTTGAAAAAATACTTATTAATGAAAGTGTTTATATTGAATATAAAATGTGTAGGTAAAATCCCATGTGTCACTCTAAATGGAAAAAAAAAGGTGACTAAGCATTCCCTAACATACAATAAAACTCAGACACCTGCTTCTCCAAGATTTTACAAAACAACTTGTGTTGAAAATATTTTCCAGGTAATAAAAAAGAATCGGAACAATGATTTTGATATGTTACATTGGTCCTTTAGTTACAGAACAAAATAGTTTTAAGATTCTAAATAAGCCCCATGAAATAATTAACCTGGACCACTGTTGCACACTTCAGTATTATCCTTCTCCCTGGATATCCAGTCAGTTCTAAAATCCTCACCACTTGCCCTTTGTAAGAAAGATCTTTTAAGAAATACCTCTCCTGAACCAGGATATCTCCCTGAATCAATCAGAACCCCTTGGAGGAATCCTAGAATGACCTGTCTCTAATTAATTTCCTACTGCATTCCCTCAACACCACACAGTCGTAATTATATTCATGATTGTAATTGTATTATATTACAGTTTGGATCCTCTTGCAATAAACACCATCATAAGGGAAGCCTCACTATTATAAAGATTTCCCAGCCTTACCCAATACTTGTTTCAAGTATAGTCAACACAATAAAATTCTAATACAATAAAAAAAAAGAAATACCTTTCCTTAAACTTAGGTAGTTCACGTTAGAGATATGTCTCTATCATTTGCATGTTTAGCCCATCGCCCACATAGCGGTTCTCAAGTATCCCTGGTGGGCTTACCTTTGAGTTTATTGTGCTCAGAATCCGCTGGGAAGAGGGAATCTGGAAAGAGCTTGGGAAAGGTGAGTCCTGCATACTTAGGCCGATTCTCCACATAATTTCTTACTGTGGGTTGCAATTTCTTCATGAATTCCGGACATGGTGTTCCTAGTTGCTCAATTACTTTGTTCCACTGGTCAATATCTGAGAATTGAATAGTTAAGGGCAAACAAAAGTACAGGCTACTACCTCTTGTCTTTCACTAGTTGGAAGACTAACTGCTTCTCAGAATCCTGAGCACTCAACACAACTGGAGTTTTAATAAGCAAAAAAGGACAAAAATGTAAAATCAGAATTGTAAGGCAATGGATCCTCTTAAAACTTTAAATTTACTTTGGGAACATATACACCATTGGCGAACTAGCACTACTTAACAAAATTGGATATCGTGAGATAGACTTTGGGTTGTAAACATGAAAATCTATTTAATAACACAAGAAGAATTTCTTATATTAAGATAAACTTCTATATAACCATGCAATTTAAAAGAGAAAAAATGTGACACATAATATTTTATCATGGAATTACCTCAATCATTTATTTACTAAAAATGACAAATGCACAAATATTTAAATAAGATTCATTTACATGTTTCTTGAATTCCTCTTAAGATTTTTTTCTTCCTTTCTCTACCAAATAAGAAGTTTCATCATCTGTTAATGTTTTCTACTCATATTCATTACTTGTGGAATTAATATAATTTTTGATTAGATAATCCATTAATTCCTAACCAAAGACTTAAAAAATTTCTCTATTTATCAAAGTAGTCACAGTCTCATACCTATTTTCTTGGTCATGTCCTGTCTCCCTGAATATTAAGACATGAGGGTAAGCATAGTACGTTCAATTTAAAATAACAGAATTGCATCCAAGTGCGTGTGTTTCAAAAGTACATTAAGCATGCGGAATTCTACAGGAAAAATATTGTTGCTATGAATATTAATATCCCCCCCAATTGGAGCTAGCTCTTTGATACTGAATGAGATTCTCTTTTTCATTTATTATTAGCATTTGTTATATCAGAGCTTTGTGAATGATAAATACCACTAATGAAAACTCTGAAGAACTGGAAAAAACTGATTTGAATGAAATCCCTTCGCCACGTGTCAATGAATGATAAAAGCCTTAGAAATTCTTCTTAAATCCAATACCACAGGAAGTGTTACCTTTGCATTATTTATTCTTTTACAACTCTATCCTTTAAAAATAAGTTAATTCATTCATTTCTGCTAATGTAATTTGCAACAGTTCAGGGAACTTACCATAATATTACTTAATTGAGGTTTGTAAACTCCTTATCCTTAGCTATTCAATACAGTTGGACTAAAAAAGATCAGCAGTCCTGACAAAAAACATGAACTATATTTAACAAACATAATATATAATGCAAACAAAGTAGATAGGATATTGCACAGAGATAAAATTAAGTTAATTTGCAAATCTACTTCCTTTGTAATTTGACTGTATAAAATTTAAATTATTATACATTCTCTTAGTTACTGGGATGAAAAAAAATGTATGATTGAGTAATATCAAGAAATGAAGTGAAAGGGAAAAAAATTAAATAATATTCATGAGAATATTGTAGTAAGTCAGAATAATTAGAAATAAAAGAGCTAAAAATGTTACAAAAGATTAAAGTTAAAAGTTACTCTTACACAAAAACTTACATTAGTATTATAGATAAAATTAAGCTTGAACTATTTAAACATATTTAAATAGAAAGTGTTAGTACAGCTAAATAAATCTCAAGGGCTTGTTTTGTAAATTATGAAAAGAGGTCTACTCTCAAATAAAGTTAGGTTATCAAGACCTACCAAGCTATCATTTAATCACTGGTCAAACTTACTTAGGATTTTACAGATGATATCAACCTAAAAATAGAGGCAAAGAAGCTATCATGTTTTCTGTAAAGGTATCATTAAAAAAGGGGCAAGATACTCCAACCCACTATTATATTCTAGTTACATTTAACTAGAGTTGTAGAGTTATTCAGTAAAAAATTTATTGCTTTTAAAGTAGTGTTCCCCAAACTATTCCATGTTATTTTTAGAGCAAAGTTTAAGGAAAGTCAGATAGTGTGAAATTTGTTAAAACAAGAACAGTTGAAATGTTTCTTTTTATAAGTTACGAGAGGCCCAATGCACGAAATTCATGCAAGGGGCTCAGCCCTCGCAACTGTGGCAGCTTGCCTCAGCCCTCACAGCCCCGGCTTCGTCCAGAAGGTCATCCGGAAGGATGACCGGAAGGTCATTTGGTTGTCTGGTCTAATTAGCATATTACACTTTTATTATTATAGATAATTAGAGCCTACAGAAGCACTTAATGAATTTTTCTACTTGAGATTGCCTTTTAGATAAAACACAATAATGGTCCTTAATGTAATAGTTTACAAAACATAAGGAGGCAAGAATCTTTATTGTCCATAAAGTACTTGAATGTTAATACTTCAAATATAAAGATGATATAGGCATCTGTAAAAGTTTGTGTCTTTATTTTAATTGATCTATTTTAAGTTCTTTCTCCCCATACATGAAATTAGTGTTAGTGCTTCTTTTCCAGATGTTCACAGGATCTCAACATGAACAACCTTGTCCAACTATATTTCTTTAACCACATGATTTTCCTCTATAATAATTATTAACCAAATAGAAGCCAAGACTAGAAGTCATATCTCCTGACTTTAAGTCCAATGCTTGTTGCCATAATTCCAGTAAGAAAAAGAGCAAGTTTGAAATTTATCTGATAGAAATTGTTTTAATTTGGCCATAAAATTGATGGTATGTTTGTCATAAGTAGTTCCCTTAAAGAATGTCTCTGAAATCGCCTCCTTAGTTTGCCAGGTCAACATATTCACCTAAAACAATTAATTTTTATTAATATTTTAAGTAAAAAAAAGATGATACATATTTTAAAAATTTTAATCAACAGATTTCCACATGGTTACATTTTTTAAATATATAAAATATTAACTGATTTTTGTGCTTATGTATGAATGTTAACATGTAAATATTTTTTAAAGAATGGCCAAAAGTGCCCTAACCGGTTTGGCTCAGTGGATAGAGTGTCAGCCTGCGGACTCAAGGGTCCCAGGTTCGATTCCGGTTAAGGGCATGTGCCTTGGTTGCAGGCACATACCCAGTGGGGAGTGTGCAGGAGGCAGCTGATCGATGTTTCTAACTCTCTATCCCTTTCCCTTCCTCTCAGTAAAAAAATCAATAAAATATATTTTTTTAAAAAAAGAATGGCCAAAAGTAATTTTGTGAAAGGATTTATTTGCTTTAGAACTCATAAGTCATTACTATCATTTTTTGTTGTTGTTAAGCCGCACCCAAGGATATTTTTTCCATTGCATTTTAGAGAGTGGAAAGGAATGAAGGAGGGGAAGAGGAGAGAAAGAGAGAGAGAAACATCGATGTGAGACACATTGATTGGTTGCCTCCCCCACAAGCCCCGATGAGGGCAAGGGCTAAAACCTGCAACCCCAATACATGCCCTTGACCGAGAATCAAAACTGTAACCCTCCAGCGCCAGGGCCATTATTTTTATACTGTATGAATATAGATCTGAATATTTACAGAGTCCAGTCTGTGCAGCTATTAAAAAAACAATAAATATGTTTTATATTTTTTATTTACTATTTCAGTAAGAAATTATCACCCTTAACATATTTGTCAAAGGCATTTAAAAAATATCATTTTATAGGAGTTATTGACACTAAATTTCTCATCTAATTCTAAATTCACTACATAAAACTAGTCATATTATAAAAAGTTTGACTTTCTAGAGTATGATAAGACAAGATAATGTGCAAATATTGACTATTAACTAATGTCTTCAGTAAAAAGTATTGTAATAGATGAATAAAACAAAGTAAATATGGATTGTAAAAACGATTTTTTTAAATATTAAGATTGAAAATTCTTTGTTAATTTTATCATTTAGCAAAAAGCTTACATTCCATGTACCCCTTCTACTTTAACTTCATTGTTGGGGAACTTTCTAAAACATATCACAAACTGCCTTGAACATAATGTATGAAAAATACCTTATCTTTTAATGAGTATTTTAAGCCATAATTATGAACATAATTTATACAATGCACATTTAAGCATTCAGAAACTACAAAGTGGATTCAAAAAGAGTATTTAATGGTCTCATTCTACTATGCCCTTCAAAAAACTGTATCTTCTTTTATGCTTTCTTCCATAGTCGATTACTTTTTGTTATTATGAATACGGTTTCCAGAGTTAATGACTTCATAAATTCAGACTTGCTTTCTCCCCTAATTGAAGCCTTATAGACAATATTTTGTGCAAAGTTTTCTGACACCTATTTGAAACTAAAGAATATCAGTGTTTATCTCCAAATTCTTAACTATGTTTTAAAAAATATGTTGCCAAAGAATAGTTTCAAGGGAGGTTATTTTATCTGTCAAGCCATCCATCTGCCTAGGCTCTGTGTTGAGCATTATGGTTTTATGTCAGTCCTGTAGGAAAGAATATTGCAACCAATTAGTAATTTCCACAATGAATATGCAATAAGGAAGTGGAGGCATGCATGCCATGTGTTAGGCATCATGATATAAAACTGTGGTTCCCCAATTTGAATATTCATAACATAGGGAAATTACAAAATACAGACCCTTCCACTCTTCCCATTGATCTACATAATTCTGAGTCCACAGATCTGATATATTATTACTAAAAAGAACATCAATAGTAATTGCAATCCAGATGGCTTCTGGACTATATTTTGAGAAATAACAATGTAGAATATACTATCAGTAGTTTGTCAATTACTAAATCCAGATATAAAAATTAAATACTAACCTGTTTCAGTTTATGATGCAAGTTAAAATAGCTTTAAATTCAGCAAAAGTTTAAAACCACACCTATCTATATATATATAAAAAGGCAGTAACTGTGACGACCGAAACAACTGGTCGACTGAACAGCAGGCTGTGTGGGGTGACCAGGCCAGCAGGGGGGGGGGTTAGTGAGGGGCGACCAGGCTGGCGGGGGAGGGGGGTAGTGAGGGACAACCAAATGACCGAACAGCCGGCTGTGTTGGGAGACCAGGCCAGCAGTGGGGGCAGTGAGGGATGACCAGATGAATGAACAGCAGGCTGCGTGGGGGTTCCC